TGTAAGTATCCTGCAGGACCGAAACCTGCAGGATTTTGATAATCCTACAGATATGGCATGTCCTGTAGGACCATGACAATTCCTGCAGGAATCCTGCAGGACCGAAACCTGCAGGATTTTGATATTTCTGCAGGATATGGCAATTCCTGTAGGACCAAGAAAATCCCAGCACGAATCCTGCAGAACCGAAACCTGCAAGATTTTGATATTCCTAGGGCCTATCAGATAGTCAAAGTGCTGGAGAAGATAAAGTGTGTGTGGAGGTGAGTGCACTTCGTTTTGTATATAGCTAGCTAGTTTTTGATTCCCCAAAAAACGTGTTTTAAACTCTCCTTTACAATTTACAACAAGAAGATGAACGGCCATGTGACATCTTGGTCACCATAGCAACAGTTGACAGTTGGCAGTTGAGGAAATGGCTGCCAGGCAGTTTAGCTAGCTAGTTCAAGTACTGCTAATAAATAAATAAACACTTTTGCTTCCATGGAAAGTGACAAATGAGGTTTGATATCCCTCTTTAGTACTATGTCTCTGTAGTACTGTTGTCACAAGTTAGACTATAATTTTTAAACGTTTTGAAACAGATGGTGATAGATTAGATTTTTTGAAAGGCTAATGGCTTCTTGGCTAAAGTAGCACTTGACGACGGTAACCAATGATCATGACATGTAAATAAGGAAGTGATTGCATTTAAATACACTGAACAAAAATATAAATGCAACATGTTTCATGAGTTTCATGAGCTAGTTAGACTCCTCAAATAGGCGACATTTAACATTTGGTAATCAGAGCAAAATTCAAGTACACAAACAATCCTGAAAATATGCTGCATAATATCTCCCTCAAATTGCAATTAGTTCACATTACATCAGCCATAATAGCAGTATTTTGTCAGTATGCCATTATCAGTATACTGTGTTGTTTGGCTCCCTCTAGTGGGTGTTTATAGAAGTCATTAAATTAGTTGATATCAAAGTGCAATTGACCTATAGAAAAACATGAAGAACTGTGTAAACAACTTTATTGCAAAATAGCTAAGTACATTTTACTCACTGAGTTGCTTTGCAAATAACAGAATACAATAGCATCACTAACAATCCAGTATAACACATACACTGAGTATACCAAACATTAGGAACACTTTCCTAATGAGTTGCACCCACCACTTTTGCCCTCAGAACATCCGGGGCATGGACTTTACAAAGTGTCAAAAGCATCCTTAAGGGATGCTAGCCCATGTTGACTCCAATGCTTCCCACAGTTGTGTCAACTTGGCTGAATGTCCTTTGGGTGGTGGACTGTTGAGTGTGAAAAACCTTGCCCATTCACCCTCTCAATGGCACACACACAATCCATGTCTCAACTGTCTCAAGGCTTAAAAATCCTTCTTTAACCTTACTCCTCCTCTTCATCTACACTGATTGAAGTGGATTTAACAAGTGACATCAGTAAGTGATCAATGCTTTCACCTGGATTCACCTGGTCAGTCTATGTCATTGAAAGTTCTTAATGTTTTTTATACTCAGTGTACGTGCCATTTCACTTGTTAAGATCAACATAATATCCCAGTGTGAAATCACTTGTTCTTAATGTTTTGTATACTCAGTGTAGAGACACACCAGAACACACACACTCTCTGTATGACAAGGTGACTTTTATCAATATACGGAATTCACCTGTATTTACCCCCAAAAATGAAACGCTAATTAGCTGCTAATGTGGCTATCATAAAGAACTACAAATGCCATGATGATCTAGACGAGACTGCCAAATTGAGGCAAAGGTAAGAATCTCTGGTTTAACTATCTAATGTTAGCTAAATGTAGTAATGAATAAATTGCCTACATTTCTTTAATGGACAATTCTGTGAACTGTCTCGTGCAAGTTTTGACACAATACCTGTTAGTAAAGGTGCCTGCTAGAGATGACGTGCAGGAGCTTGCAGAGATTAGTAGTTTTGCATGATGACTACTTGATTGCTAATTATTATTTTTTGAATCTGAGAGTAAATACAGCCGAATATATTGATAAAAGTCACCTTGTCCGAGAGAGATTTACATGGTTATCAAAACGTCACGCAAGGGTAAGCCTACACGAAACACAGCCCTTATCTTAAGTGTTTCTAAAATCCCCTATGGGAAAATGAATGGTGGAAAAACCATGTCCCTGTTTGACTGCTAGGTTTTATGGGTATTTTGACACCTCCACTGTGGGGCTCTATTCACCTCAAGGACCCCTATGTTATGGTGTACAACAGGCCCCCCCGAAGAGGAGAACATTGACAAACGACGCTTACTGCCCCTCGGGAAAGCATTTGTGCAAGCAAAATCATTTTCAAACCTACCTTAGGAGTGTAAGCACGCTAAGTAAAAAACGAAATCCACTGGCATATTTATTCTGAGAAAAAAACTGAAAATGTATAATTTCCTGAATATCTCAGAACGCCACCTTCCTATTCTTGGAGAAATGTCGCATACACAAACCGCGCTCATTCATTGGCTGTTTCAGCGCCTTTGTGTAACAGCAACCAGACAAAAATTACACACAAAAAAGGCAGACACAAAACCATGCACGTTTTCTCTAATATTTATGTAAGTGTAAATTGTTGTAAACGGTAAAGCCTTTGTGTTCATTGATAAACATGAAGAATGTGCTGAACTTGATCACATGATACGCCTACGCACCTTTATAGGCTATGTGGCATTGTGGGTAATGTAGGATAAGGCCTAGAAATTGTTTATAAGGAAACCTATAGTAGGCCATAGAGAGACATAGGATAAGGGGGATTGTGAATGCCTTCATCTAACAGTCTCAGAGTCATAACATAATTGATCATGAATAAAGGAGAATGATAAAAAATATTGAGTAGGAAATTAATGATTGGAAAACCATTAAATGTTACACAACAAACTGTTTCATAGTGTTTTATTCAGTCAGGTTGAAACAGTATGACTTATTCCTCTGAACTCCTAGTGGAGCAAAAGGCCTCAGCGGTGCATTTCCAGTTAACTCTTTTCTGGGCGGTTTTCTTGACCTCATTCCAGGTGGTTCCTGGTTTTGACTAGGTAGTATACAGCTACGACCGGAAGTTTGTTTTTCGTAGCAGGTTAGGATAACTTACGCAGCAGGTTAGGTGAATTAACTTGCCACGTTTGGATAATTAGATTATGGTTAGGAAACAGTTTAGGGTTAGCTAGAATGCTCTCCTAACCTGCTACAGAAAGTAACTTCCAGTCGTAACTGTACTCCATCTTGTCACAATCGTGGTTACTGCCTTCTTCATCTCTTCCTCATTCGTCCTTCCCCATGTCTTCTTTGGGCGGCCAACCTTCCTTTTACTTTAACAGTATAAACCCCTTCAATGTTCTGCCCTTGTTCTCCCTAATTTCAGACCCACTTGCAATTTGTATTATGAATATGACATGTTATTCACATACACTACATTAGGCAACTAAATATGTCAGCATCAACAAATGTGAATGAATCAGCATTAATGTGTAGCAAGTAAAAACTATACCTCAGTGAGATTTACTGACATCATGCAAATTGGCTCCCCATGTAGAGTATGCTACTGCTGTGTTTTCCTGTACAGTAGGTTTGATTCAACACCTGTACCAGTGTTTCATTATTGAACATGTTTTGGTGACAGAGGTGCCATAGCGACACAGATTAGAGCCATATTGCCTCCTCTGGCCAATGCTGATTCTGCCTCAACTGGCTAAATGCACACTACTTAACAACTACATAATATAGGGGTCCTCCTACTCCTAATATAGGTGAGGTAGGTTCCAGTCTCTTATGTAAGCTTTCGTGTTTCTAGAATGGAGATGTTTTCCATTGCTCAAATTAGTCCTGTAAACTCCTCCCTGGACAACACTCCATTTGTAAGACATTTTAAGTGCATTAACTTAATCCCAAATAGGCTATATGGGTTGTAGTGATCCCAGCATTAGACTGGAATGGGCAGCCATTCATGTATGGGGGAAACACAAAGGAAGAAGCTGATATCTGTTGTGATGGTTTCCAAACCACTTCTGTGAAATGCAATGGAGTCATATACCGATATTTCGACTTCTACTGATTAGGAGGACTTGGCAAGGACCATGTTGAGAATCAACGTGTGTGTTTGGATTTTGTGGTTGTGCTATACAGGTAATTCTGCTCTCTTGTTCATGCCCACTGGGCACAGACATCAGTTCAACGTCTAGTTTTGATTTACATTTGGTTGAGTTGTCAACTAATGTGAATTCAACTTGAAATCAACAACAAAAATTCCCCATGTTATTGGATTAAGGTTAAAAGTTGGGTGAAAAAAAGACAAAATTCCCTTACCTTCATGACTTTTTAAAAAATCCAATCAGTTTTCAACGTCATTTTTTTGGTTGAAATGACATGGAAACAATGTTAATTCAATCCGTTTTTGCCCAGTGGATGTTGTTTGTTGTTGTTTCTTCTGTGAGATCCCATGCTTTACAGTGTACAGTGCATTGTGTTACAAAGAGTATATATAATTGTGTCATAATGCTAAGGTTCACGTATACCTTTTTAACCTAATTATGTATTTTCTATCATGTTCAAACTAAATGTCACGAAATAAACTACAAGTATCTATTTCTATAATTAAAGTTATATTTATTGGTTGATATCAATCAAGTAGTACACATGTGCAAGTACGTGAACATGTTCTACCAACCAATCTGCAAAATAGTGTCATACTTCCATAGATAAAGTAATTAACTAGATATGTGTGAAAACGGATATATTGGAAAATAATGATGGATGAAGTTTTTTTTAAACAAACTAGTAATCAATGGCATGTCATGGGCCAAACTTTCACATTGATGTTTCTTAGTATGGCCAAATATAATATTTGTCCATTTCCAATAGGTGCCATATCATATGAATAACATATCAATTCCACGTAGATGCAAAATGAATTGCCAACTGGTTTTATTGTAGGATGCAAATATATCTGATTAAGTTTACCTATCTACACAGGTGGTCTCTGTGAGGAGGACACTTATGCATGTGAACTGCAACCGTGTCAGAATGGTGGCGTCTGCGACAGCCAACATGGCGGCTACAGGTGCATCTGCTCTCAACAGAACCAAGATGGCCGACTGTACGGAGGTGAGAATTGCACAGTCGCCCTCCTGGGCTGCAACGGCAACCGCTGCAAGAACGGTGGCATCTGCTCTCCCCTCTTTCTGAACTACCGCCACACCTACACCTGCACCTGCCGTGCAGGCTTCACCGGCTCCAAGTGTCAGACGTCAACCATCTTCTCCTTCGAGACCAGCGGCTACATGTATGTGGAGACCCAGCAATCGGACCCTGAAGTCCCTCTCAACGTCACCCTTAGCTTCAAGACGGACCGGCCTGTCGGCACCCTCCTCCAGCGCCGGGTCGACGACCTGCTGCTCACCATTGAGCTGGTAGACAGCCGCTTACGCCTCAGCATGCTAAGAGCTCAAGGGACAAGAAACCCAGTGGTCCTGGAGCTACCGCCGAGCGTGGCGGACAGCCAGTGGCACACGGTGGAGGCCTGGCTGGGAGGTGAGGAGGGGGGGAGCGGTATCAGGCTGCTTCACTCCCCCTGCGCTGAGGTGGGCTGCACCAGGGAGTTCCCCGCCACCGAGACACCCCTGCTGGAGCAAGGCTCCGGCCTACGAGAACCCAGCTCGGTCCGCCACAGCCTCTTTCTAGGAGGGGTGGGACTGGGCTGGGGCTCCGGTGGGGTGGCAGGGGAGAGGGAGGCTGAGGCTGCTGACCCGCCTGATGCACCTGCCCCACCTAGCCCAGCTGCTTACTTCCTAGGCTGCTTCCGGGACGTGTTTGTGGAGTCACGGCTGGTAGTACCCGCCGCCGCCAACTCACCGGCTCAGGTCAACGTCACAGCCGGGTGCAGCGACAGGGACAAGTGTGATGACAGCCCGTGTCAGAACCGGGGGCATTGCGTAAACCAGGGATGGAGGAGCTATGTGTGCGAGTGCTACAGACCGTACGAGGGGACTACGGACTGCGCTGAGGGTAAGGCCTGAGGGATGTGGTCTTGCATGTCTGAAAACACTGTAAATGTAGCAGCAAAACACTTGAACAGTGCAAAATATGAAAACAATGGGCATTATGAAACCGTAACATAATACAATATGAGAGCCACACCTTCAGAATATATTCATAGGTTTTCTGCTCTATTTTGATATTTTCCATTCCATTTCAATAATCTCACATATCCTATTAGTGCAAGCGTGTGCTTCTCATACAGCTTGGATAAATGTAGCTTACAACAATAAAATGGTCAAACTGAGAAGTAGGGATCATTTTGGACTTCACTAAGGACTCTGGTATGAGTTTCATAAACTAAATCACCTGACATCAACAGATCAGCCTCAATAGAATCACTACAAAATCTAAATGGCTGGCATCCTAATGTGGCACCTAAGATGTGGATAAAAGTAGCCTGTGGCAGACTGCAAAGGAGCTTAGAGAACTAGTTAAAATAGCATGCACACACATGCAACCGTGTAAACATGCACGTATGTACACACACACGTGTACACACACATAGGCATGCACACTTACACACACCCATGCATGTACACATATACAGTGAGGGAAAAAAGTATTTGATCCCCTGCTGATTTTGTACGTTTGCCCACTGACAAAGACATGATCAGTCTATAGTTTTAATGGTAGGTTTATTTGAACAGTGAGAGACAGAACAACAACAAAACAATCCAGAAAAACACATGTCAAAAATGTTATAAATTGATTTGTATTTTAATGAGGGAAATAAGTATTTGACCCCCTCTCAATCAGAAAGATTTCTGGCTCCCAGGTGTCTTTTATACAGGTAACGAGCTGAGATTAGGAGCACACTCTTAAAGGGAGTGCTCCTAATCTCAGTTTGTTATCTGTATAAAAGACACCTGTCCACAGAAGCAATCAATCAATCAGATTCCAAACTCTCCACCATGGCCAAGACCAAAGAGCTCTCCAATGATGTCAGGGACAAGATTGTAGACCTACACAAGGCTGGAATGGGCTACAAGACCATCGCCAAGCAGCTTGGTGAGAAGGTGACAACAGTTGGTGAGATTATTTGCAAATGGAAGAAACACAAAATAATTGTCAAAAAAATCCAGAAAAACACATGTCAAAAATGTTATAAATTGATTTGCATTTTAATGAGGGAAATAAGTATTTGACCCCTCTGCAAAACATGACTTAGTACTTGGTGGCACAACCCTTGTTGGCAATCACAGAGGTCAGACGTTTCTTGTAGTTGGCCACCAGGTTTGCACACATCTCAGGAGGGATTTTGTCCCACTCCTCTTTGCAGATCTTCTCCAAGTCATTAAGGTTTCATGCCTGACGTTTGGCAACTCGAACATTCATCTCCATCCACAGAATTTCTATGGGATTAAGGTCTGGAGACTGGCTAGGCCACTCCAGGACCTTAATGTGCTTCTTCTTGAGCTACTCCTTTGTTGCCTTGGCCGTGTGTTTTGGGTCATTGTCATGCTGGAATACCCATCCACGACCCATTTTCAATGCCCTGGCTGAGGGAAGGAGGTTCTCACCCAAGATTTGACGGTACATGGCCCCGTCCATTGTCCCTTTGATGCGGTGAAGTTGTCCTGTCCCCTTAGCAGAAAAACACCCCCAAAGCATAATGTTTCCACCTCCATGTTTGACGGCGGGGATGGTGTTCTTGGGGTCATAGGCAGCATTCCTCCTCCTCCAAACACGGCGAGTTGAGTTGATGCCAAAGAGCTCGATTTTGGTCTCATCTGACCACAACACTTTCACCCAGTTCTCCTCTGAATCATTCAGATGTTCATTGGCAAACTTCAGACGGGCCTGTATATGTGCTTTCTTGAGCAGGGGGACCTTGCGGGCGCTGCAGGATTTCAGTCCTCCACGGCATAGTGTGTTACCTTGGTTGTTTTCTTGGTGACTATGGTCCCAGCTGCCTTGAGATCATTGACAAGATCCTCCCGTGTAGTTCTGGGCTGATTCCTCACCGTACTCATGATCATTGCAACTCCACGAGGTGAGATCTTGCATGGAGCCCCAGGCCGAGGGAGATTGACAATTATTTTGTGATTCTTCCATTTGCGAATAATCTCACCAACTGTTGTCCCCTTCTCACCAAGCTGCTTGGCGATGGTCTTGTAGCCCATTCCAGCCTTGTGTAGGTCTACAATCTTGTCCCTGACATCATTGGAGAGCTCTTTGGTCTTGGCCATGGTGGAGAGTTTGGAATCTGATTGATTGATTGCTTCTGTGGACAGGTGTCTTTTATACAGATAACAAACTGAGATTAGGAGCACTCCCTTTAAGAGTGTGCTCCTAATCTCAGCTCGTTACCTGTATAAAAGACACCTGGGAGCCAGAAATCTTTCTGATTGAGAGGGGGTCAAATACTTATTTCCCTCATTAAAATGCAAATCAATTTATAACATTTTTGACATGTGTTTTTCTGGATTGTTTTGTTGTTGTTCTGTCTCTCACTGTTCAAATAAACCTACCATTACAATTATAGACTGATCATTTCTTTGTCAGTGGGCAAACGTACAAAATCAGCAGGGAATCAAATACTTTTTTCCCTCACTGTATACTGTACATACACAGTAATGCAGAGATATACACACAGGCAGAGAGAAGCAGATAAACAACATCTGACTCTAGGATTAAGGAAACGTTTAGGGATTAAGGAGCCAACTGGGACCGCCTTCACTTTCCGTAAAACAGGGTTTCCCAAGGACTCTCGCAACAATCCTCTAACGCAGGGGTGTCAAACTCATTCCATGGAGGGCCTAGGGTCTTTAGGTTTTATTTTATTCTTTCAATTAAGACATAGACAATCAGGTGAGGGGAGTTCCTTACTAATTACTGACCTTATTTCATCAATCAAGTACAAGGGAGGAGCGAAAACCCGCAGACACTCGGCCCTCCGTGGAAGGAGTTTGTCACGTGCTCTAACGTGATGGGTGGAAATAACTGGTCTGAGTTCTGAGTACTGGTCCGCTTCACCTAGAATCAGGGATGGGCAACTTCTCGGGGCCGGATTGCCCCAGCTAACACAACTGACTCCAATAATCAACTAATCATGGTCTTAAGTTTAGAATGCAATTAGTTTAATCAGGTGTGTTGGCTAGGGAAAAAGTGATACCAATCTGGACTGGAGTTGCCATCCCGGTTACTTGAAGGAGTAATAAGGAGTGACATAAACATCTCAGGCTGATACCAAGTCAAAGTTGGGGGCAATTTCATTTCAATTCATGATTTGAAAACTTTGAGTCCAGAATTGAATTTCAATTAACTTCCTGACTTGAATGAGTTGAAATGGAATTGGCACCAACCCTGTTACCCAGGCTAGAAAACAAACAAAAGTCAAGTTTTTTGGGGGGGGCACTAGCACACGGTGGCTCACCCGGAGATAGAGTGTTGTGTCTTTGTGTTTTGACACTATCTCTCTCTGTTAGTTCTTCATCTATCCATTTAGTAATTGGGAGGATATAGTATTTAACTTTCAAAAAAAAATTTACTCTCTCGCTCTTTCTGTACCCACACAGAGTACAACACGGCCAGGTTCGGCAACGAGGATGCGGCGAGTTATGCCGTCTTCTCCCTGGATGACCCCCTGGGTTCTGGCACCATCGCCATATCCATGTTCGTGCGCACGCGGCGCTCGAGCGGCCTCCTCCTGGTCCTGGCCAACAGCACTAGCCAGTACCTCCGCCTGTGGCTGGACGATGGCCGGGTAAAATTTCAGGTGAACAACTTAAAGAGCCTGTCGGGTCGGGTCGTGGTCAGCGACGGCCACTTTCACTTGGTGACGGTGCGGCTGGAGGGCGACTCGGTGACCCTGTTCCAGTCGGCCCATAGCCAGGGAACCATCCCCGTCCTGCCCGTGGTGGCTCAGCCGGGGGACCTGGTCTACGTCGGGGGCCTGGCCGACCAGAGAGCCTCGGCCTCCTTTGGAGGTTACCTGAAAGGCTGTGTCCAGGACCTGAGGATTAACAGTAAACGGCTGCAGTTCTTCCCCATAGCAACCCCAGTGGCCTCGTACGGCCTGGTGGAGCTGGTCAATGTCACACAGGGATGTACCAGTGACAACGCCTGTAGTGTGAGTAGCTGGATATACAGTATACTATACACATACAGGTATTTTTCCACAACACAGTTGCGCCATGACAATACCAGTTTTTAAACCCAGAGTTCCAAGTGGCCAATATTTCCGGGAATGCCCGCGAAGCAGACCAAACAGAACAGCCTGGGTTTTGGAATTTGGGAAGTCAAAGGGAGCGTGAAAAATAATAGCCGAACAGCTAAATGTCCTTCTTTTTTGGGGGTGTTTTTATCAATGTCAATCAAACAAGAGATATCAGTCACATGATTTGCACAGCAACAAAACATGAGCAAGAAGGGGGGATTGACAAGCAGTTCAAGATACAACAATTGAGAGATAATATTACGAGGGGTACCTAACAAATATCTTAGATGGCGGAGACGGCATTTAACCGGCCCACTAGTGTTGTTGTAGCCGTGCCATGCAGCTTAGCTGTGGATTTCTCTAGAATAAGAACGTCCAAAAAGTACATTTTCCAGGAAGATTTAAAATAAGTATTTGGATCAAATAAAAAAATGTATTGCCTTTTTAGCAGCAGTTAGGGCACACATTAACAATTTCAATTTCATCGAATCCAATAGAATGTCAAATATTTCCTAGTAGAAACAGACCAGGCGACATAGGTACATTTACCTCTATCAAGGTGTGAAGAAGGTATTTATTGTACTGTATGTCCAGAGGTCAGAGGTCTGGAAGCGGCGATATGGTGTATAATAACATTTGTGAATACATTTTAAATAAATTAACTGGTGAGATAAGTTTTTTGTTGATGAGAAAACATTGTTCCATATCACCTTCCAGTTCAACTGTTCTCCGAAACCTAGGAGTTCTCTGTTCCAGATGTAAGTGACCGCTCTCTTTTTATTTTGTATTGATTTCACCTTTATTTAACCAGGTAAGCCAGTTGAGAACAAGTTCTCATTTACAACTGCGACCTGGCCAAGATAAAGCAAAGCAGTGCGATAAAAACAACAACAACACAGAGAGTTACATGTCAGTAGAGTTAAGTTTGGAGTAGAGAGTGGAGACCAGGCCAACAGATTTGGGAGTATTCAAAAGTCACAACCAGGATAAGAGAATCCCAGGGTACTCCGTAGGCTTTAAGAGCCGAGCCTAAGGTAAAAAAAAAAAAGGAAGTCCCTAGAAGATTATATGATTCTTTGAGGTCTTGAAAAGTTTGAAGACCTGAATTGTTAAAGATGTCACTGAGTGTGAAGATATTTCTACTAGACCATTGAGGAAAAACAAAGGGTTTTGAGCCTGATAAGATTAAGTTCTTGTTTCATAATGGGGAATGGCTGTGAAAAGGGAACAGCGCCGGAAGAAGATGGCTGCCGTTTTACAGCCCTCTAACCAATTGTACTATTATGTGTGTTTTTCCGCGTTATTTGTAATTTATTTTGTACATAATGTTTCTGCCATCGTCTCTTATAACCAAAGAGAGCTTCTGGATATCAGGACAGCGATTACTCACCTCGCATTGGACGAAGACTTTTTCTTCAACGAGGCGTTCGCGAAGGATATTCTACAGACACCCAACAAGGCCCAGATCCCCGTCATTCGCGTGAGGAAGAGACGGAGATATCGTGGACGCAGATCCGGGTGCCTTGTAAGGATCCGACGGCGAACGAGTAAACTGCCTCTCCCATCAATCCTATTAGCCAACGTTCAATCTTTTGAGAATAAAATTGACGATTTAAGATTACGGTTATCCTACCAACGGGACATTAAAAACTGTAATATCTTATGTTTCACGGAGTCGTGGCTGAACGACAACAATGACAACATTCAGCTAGCAGGCTATACGCTACATCGGCAGGACAGAACGTCTGACTCTGGTAAGACAAGGGGTGGCGGTCTGTGTATATTTGTAAACAACAGCTGGTGCACAAAATCAAATACTAAGGAAGTCTCGAGGTTTTGCTCGCCTGAGGTAGAGTATCTTATGATAAGCTGTAGACCACACTATTTACCAAGAGAGTTTTCATCTATATTTTTCATAGCTATCTATTTACCACCACAAACCAATGCTGGCATTAAGATTGCACTGAATGAGTTGTACAAGGCCATTAATCAACAGGAAAACGCTCATCCAGATGCAGCGCTCCTAGTAGCCGGGGACTTTAATGCAGGGAAACTTAAATCCGTTCTACCTCATTTCTACCAGCATGTTAAATGTGCAACCAGAGGGGAAAAAACTCTAGACCACCTTTACTCCACACACAGAGACGCATACAAAGCTCTCCCTCGCCCTCCATTTGGCAAATCTGACCATAACTCTATCCTCCTGATTCCTGCTTATAAGCAAAAACTGAAGCAGGAAGCACCAGTGATTTGGCTAATAAAAAAGTGGTCAGATGACGCAGATGCTAAGCTACAGGACTGTTTTGCTAGCACAGACTGGAACATGTTCCGGGATTCTTCAGACAGCATTGAGGAGTACACCACATCAGTCACTGGCTTCATCAATAAGTGCATCGATGATGTTGTCCCCACAGTGACCGTACGTACATACCCCAACCAGAAGCCATGGATTACAGGAAACATCCGCACTGAGCTAAAGGGTAGAGCTGCCGCTTTCAAGGAACGGGACTCTAACCCGGACGCTTATAAGAAATCCCGCTATGACCTCCGACGAACCATCAAACAGGCAAAGAGTCAATACAGGTCTAAGATTGAATCATACTACACTGGCTCTGACGCTCGTCGGATGTGGCAGGGCTTGAAAACTATTACAGACTACAAAGGGAAGCACAGCCGCGAGCTGCCCAGTGACACAAGCCTACCAGACGAGCTAAACCACTTCAATGCTCGCTTCGAGGCAAGCAACACTGAAGCATGCATGAGAGCACCAGCTGTTCCGGACGACTATGTGATCACGCTCTCCGTAGCCGATGTGAGTAAGACTTTTAAGCAGGTCAACATTCACAAGGCCGCAGGGCCAGACGGATTACCAGGACGTGTACTCCGAGCATGTGCTGACCAACTGGCAAGTGTCTTCACTGACATTTTCAACATGTCCCTGACTGAGTCTGTAATACCAACATGTTTCAAGCAGACCACCATAGTCCCCGTGCCCAAGAACTCTAAGGTAACCTGCCTAAATGACTACCGACCCGTAGCACTGACGTCTGTAGCCATGAAGTGCTTTGAAAGACTGGTCATGGCTCACATCAACAGCATAATCCCAGAAACCCTAGACCCACTCCAATTTGCATACCGCCCCAACCGATCCACAGATGATGCAATCTCTATCGCACTCCACACTGCCCTTTCCCACCTGGACAAGAGGAACACCTACGTGAGAATGCTATTCATTGACTACAGCTCAGCATTCAACACCATAGTGCCCTCTAAGCTCATCACTAAGCTAAGGATCCTGGGACTAAACACCTCCCTCTGCAACTGGATCCTGGACTTCCTGACGGGCCGCCCCCAGGTGGTAAGGGTAGGTAACAACACATCTGCCACACTGATCCTCAACACGGGGGCCCCTCAGGGGTGCGTGCTCAGTCCCCTCCTGTACTCTCTGTTCACCCATGACTGCATGGCCAGGCACGACTCCAACACCATCATTAAGTTTGCCGACGACACAACAGTGGTAGGCCTGATCACCGACAACGATGAGACAGCCTATAGGGAGGAGGTCAGAGATCTGGCCGTGTGGTGCCAGGACAACAACCTCTCCCTCAACGTGACCAAGACAAAGGAGATGATTGTGGACTACAGGAAAAAAAAGAGGACTGAGCACGCCCCCATTCTCATCGACGGGGCTGTAGTGGAACAGGTTGAGAGCTTCAAGTTCCTTGGTGTCCACATCACCAACGAACTATCATGGTCCAAACACACCAAGACAGTCGTGAAGAGGGCACGACAAAGCCTATTCCCCCTCAGGAGACTAAAAAGATTTGGCATGGGTCCTCAGATCCTCAAAAAATTCTACAGCTGCACCATCGAGAGCATCCTGACTGGTTGCATCACCGCCTGGTATGGCAACTGCTTGGCCTCTGACCGCAAGGCACTACAGAGGGTAGTGCGTACGGCCCAGTACATCACTGGGGCAAAGCTCCCTGCCATCCAGGACCTCTATACCAGGCGGTGTCAGAGGAAGGCCCTCAAAATTGTCAAAGACTCCAGCCACCCTAGTCATAGACTGTTCTCTCTGCTACCGCACGGCAAGCGGTACCGGAGTGCCAAGTCTAGGTCCAAAAGACTTCTCAACAGCTTCTACCCCCAAGCCATAAGACTCCTGAACAGCTAATCATGGCTACCCGGACTATTTGCACTGCCCCCCCACCCCATCCTTTTTACGCTGCTGCTACTCTGTTAAGTATTTATGCATAGTCACTTTAACTCTACCCACATGTACATATTACCTCAACTACCTCAACTAGCCGGTGCCCCCGCACATTGACTATGCAACGGTACCCCCCTGTATATATAGCCTCCCTACTGTCACTTTATTTTACTGTATATATAGCCTCCCTACTGTCACTTTATTTTACTTCTGCTCTTTTTTTTTCTCAACACTTTTTTGTTGTTGTTTTATTCTTACTTTTTTGTTTAAAATAAATGCACTGTTGGTTAAGGGCTGTAAGTAAGCATTTCACTGTAATGTCTGCACCTGTTGTATTCGGCGCATGTGACCAATAAAATTTGATTTGATTTGATTTGAGATCATAAAATGTCTATTGGCCTGTCTCCACACTTCAGCCTCATTAGCAATTATTGAAACCATTCAGAGACATGTAGATTTTTGTTTACAGTCAGAGAATAAGAAGTATTGTAGTCTAATAGACTTTATTAAAGCCTCTTCATTGGGACGCCATGCGGCTTGATTAGTGGGATCTAGACAGATTTTCAGAAATCTCAAACGGAAAGAAAAGTCATATTATGTAAGGTTAGGTAGAGCCAGTCCACCAAATGGTTTGGGGAGCTGCAGTGTATTCTAGGTAATTTGTCTTTCCAGATGAAATTCCTGCACAATGTATACATTTCTTAGAAATATTGAAGAGGGGTGAAATGGGACACAT